AGAAAGATATAAAAATCCTCACACACGGATGTAACACGTTTATTCCTTATAACTAAGTTGTAATTTTATGGTGCCACAGGCGGTGGAAAGGAGTGGCGTGGCGAGTGTAGCTGATGATGGGGTAGCTGAGAGTAAGCAGTAAGCCGAGTAGCAGGGCTGTAAGCAGTTTGCAGTAGCGAGCGGTTGGTGGTCTGGTGAAAGCAGGTTCGCGCGAGTCGATCAGGGCGAGAAAAAGAGAGAAAGTGTGTGAGCGAAAGCTGTTTCTCTCTCTGTGGGGGGTCGGCATGCAGAAATTGCAGAGGGTACGGTCTCGAGAATGCAGAGAAATATGCAGAGAGCACAACGAAAAGCCACACGCGGTTGCTGATCTCGACCATCGTCCGGTTTGCAGGTAGCACGTGAGCATCACCAGACCTCGCGAGCAACGACTCGACTTTTCAACTGTTATATCTACCAATTGCTTCGCGTATCTCTTGAAACAAATTTCTCCAGTAATAGTCCAGTAATAGTCAAAATCAGCTATATATTATCTTATTTCCAGCTCTATAGGTCTCATAAGTTGAACGTTTAAATATCGAATTTTCTAAATACGAATATCCTTTTCCAAAATTACGTAACGTCAACTATATATTTCATTTCATTTTAATGGTTCGTTTTATATATTTTTTAAATTAATTTCTTCCAACATAATCTGATATAATTTTAAAAACAAATATTTTAACTTTGATTCCTATTTTTCTAAAAATAGTTATTAAAATTGAGAACATAATACTCGTTAACATCGTTTTCTATAAAGTCTACAGTTCTTATGTGATCATCGCTTGAAACACTTGCCGCCACATTTCAAATAATTGGGAAAATTTTAAGGGTGGGCAATGGGATCCTTTCGTTTTTCCTGTATTCTTTTTTTTTCAGGTATCAACGAACACATAGATAGAATAGTAAGTATTTTAGAGGTAAGGCAATGTTACAGTAAATAAAGGATTTTTTTTTAAGGGGAAGAATGAAAATTTTTGTAGAGATACATGAAGAGTTCGGTCAATAAAGAATTCTTATTGAAGAAATAGAATTTTTTATTTCTTATTTGTACAAATGGAAGATTACAAGTCCTCTAAGTATCCACGAACAATCTTTTACTCGGCTTTTTAAATAATATAAGTCTAAAATTTCCGTCATCCTATAAGTTAAATGATTTAACAATAGTAATAAAAATATATTACATTTTTCTTACAATCTTAATTGTAATCATGCATAATCATTCATAATTGTAATAAATATTTCTATCATTTATATTAAAAACGTAATGTTTTAAATGGCTTGATGCGTAAAGTTACGCAAAACTTTTTTATAGTATATATTTCATTTAGATATTCCTACGTGCTATTAAGCATGCAAATGTATATATAAGAATAAAAAATGTTACAAATTATTTATCTTTGATCTTATCTCCTATAGGTTTCTTTATAACATATAATTTGCAGTAAAGAGCTATAATATATAATACAAGAGCTATAATATGCCCGGAGAAATAAACAAGTTTGTAATAAACCAGATTTTCTTTGAAATCTAATAGTAAAAATGACATTCCCAAGTATGCCATGCAAGTTGTTTTCTCATACCATCCTAGCAAATACCACAATTTTTTTGCCTACAAAGGAAAGTTAGATGAATTACGGTTCAATTAATAAATAATTATAAACAAATATCGAGAATAGAACTTACAATACTGTTTTCTGTACTTTGCTGATAAAATTTGATGAATATATCTTCGGATAACATAAAAAGGGGAATCTGACAGAAGCAAACAACATAACCAGCTGACCAACCATGCCAAATAGCAGAAAGTAGTAAAGTTAAGACAGCTCGCATACTTTTTATTGGCAATCGTTTATAGACATAGACACCAAACCAATATTGAACACAATTGTTCCATATTTTCATAGCTGTTCTTGTCGAATTGCATTTTTCCAATTTCCAAACATTCATATTGTATACAGTTTCAAAATCTAATTCTTCATTTCCCAATTTCTCAGGTGTTTTACATCTGTAATATTTGTGTATTTGTATATTTTATGTTTGTTTGATAAATGATAAATTTGTCAAGAGATTTGTTGTTCTTACAGTTCCTCTGTTGTTTTATAATCTTTAGGTCCTAATCCTTGTATAGGTTTACATCTTGTAGGATATGCTCCTACTCCAGCCATTTGACACCCACATTCTGCTAAACTCATTCCAATATACATTCGTGCTCGAAAAAGTACAAATGTAGGATACATATAAAAGTATCTATAAAGAAAAGATCTTTCTGCATATTCTTCTGTTAAAATATACTGAAATATAAATCATAGTCCATCATTCATAGTTCTCCTATGATTCTAATATTATATTTTAGTAGTTGATATTACTCTAGTGGGATAATAATAATCCATTATAAAAAATAGCACAAGAAAGCATGCAACTTGTTTCAATTTGAATAATGTAAAAGGCCATGGATCTACTACTTTAGAAAATGGCCTATATAGATGATCCCAGTATGTTCTATATCGATAATATGGTCCTATGGAGAGAAATATTGTGTTTAGTTTTATATGAAAATTAGATTAATTATAGTTAAATTATTATATTTATTAATTATAGTTAAAGTATTACCAGTTAATAGTCCCATATATCCAAAACCATAATGAAAGACATCTAAGAATCCAACATTTTTCATTGCTTCATTATGTACTCCTTCTAAATCATCAACTGGAGGATTAATAGATGCATTTAGTTCAAAAGCTAAACCAGATAATTTTAATGTTAGTATCATCAGTATAAGATTCGTATGACTTGTTGGTGTAGGCAAACCAATATAATCCCCTAATCGACATATAACAAGTAGGTAAAAAAATGAAAAAATAAAGCTGACTATGTGACATTTCCTGTAAATAGTAAAAAATTTGAAAATATTATTAGTTAATTTTATATAAAAGAATAGAATGTAAAAAGAAAATATATAAGTTATTTAAGTATATTTAAACTATAATTTTTTATCAAATTAATTTCTATATTTTACGTTATTCAATATTGGATACAGTAAATAGTAAATTTTTCAATTTATTTAATAAATTTTTATAATTTAATGATAAATCAATAATAAATACATTTTTGTATACATAAAACATAATTAAGACTAGAAAAAAAAAATCTTGACTCATTATATTAAGATTGCCAGTCGGCGATCAAATTGCAATTGATAATAATTTAAGAAATACTGTGTCTCTTAAAAAAATATATATATATATATATTCATGAATGACGCACTTATGTAATGTATTTATAGTTTTAAATAACAAAATCACATCGAGCAAAGTGGATATGATAATATTATGACTAAATAAATAAGTAATGACTTAAAAAAAAAATGAAAATAATCGTAAAATTAATTTAATTTTGACACATTATATATGATTGATAAAATTATTAAATACTCTCACTTAGATTAACAAATAAATATAATTAACGTAGTAAATTAACATGTCATACTTTAAGGAAATTTTGGTTATAATAATCGCATTAATTGTAGTCAGAATCAAAGGAAAAAATATATGACTTCCAGAAAGAATTCCTGTCAATAGGATGCCAATAATCGTGCCAGTCCATTTCTTCGCTTCTGGATCTTCGATTTTTCGATAATGAAATCCAAAAAATACACAGAACAACAGCAATGTAACATAAACTATATCAGCCCACATTGTATCAGCTCAACTGCAGAAACTCTACTGTATCTGTACTTGTGTCGTGTGTCCTATCGACTACATTTTTATATCGGTGAACTTTGTACGTAAATAAATTGAATATTATTACAAAACAATTGTATTAATTTACACTTATTTACTGGATTTCCTTTGTATTTAAATTTCAGTCATTTTCTTTGTATTAAATTTCAGTTACAGAAAACGATAGGAATATTATATTTTTATTATTTTTGCAAATTGCTGACAAACGTAATGTCATTGATTTTTTTATGTAACTTGTTAACTTAGTAAAGTAAAATTTTACGTTATATCTCAATGATATGTAATTTAAATAACAGAAATACTTCCCTTACAAATTGTTTTTTGACTTAAGTCAATGATTTAGTAAAATGAAATCATATATGAATTGAAAGGTGAAATATTAAATAACAACACAAATATAATTTAGTTATTTTAATAATTATATTTATATATAATTAAACAAGGACATTTCCATTAAACGCATATTGTAAATACGTTTAATCAATTAGTATCAATACGAAAGTAGATTTTTAACTGTTCATTGTTAATAGTAGCTGTGACATCAAATAGTTCTTAATTGACTCAAGTTAAAACGTTCTAGGATTTTTTGCCGAGTGCTTTTTGCCTAAGTTCTGTTTTTTTCTGCAGGGCAAGTTCCTTTTGTTTCTTTTCGGCTTCTCGTTTTCTAGCCGCCTCTTCTCGTTGCTGTTTAACTATAGCTAATCGTGCTAAATCCGCGCGTGCTTCTTCTGTTTTACCTGCTGCATGCAATTTTTGATAGTTTGCGTATGCTCTCTGTCTTTCTAGTTGTTCTCTGAAACAAAGAGAAAAGTGAATTCTCTAATCTTTAGATACGGATACATAAATTTCAATTTGTCTTTCATTGATGTTTACCGTTCTCTGCGAGATAAATCTGGTTTTGCTGAGTCTAAAGATTGATTTAATTGAGATAATTTTTTCGCTTTTTTTTGTACTCTATTTGGATTTTCAACTTGAATTAAATTTTCTACACCTTTTGTCTTTCCCTGTAAATTTAAAAAGAAAAGGAAAATTATCACTTATTGATTATCATGAATGTCTTATCAACTAATTTACCTCAGTTTCAGATTCTGATTCTGATTCACTTTCAGTATCTGTTCCTGATGAACTATGATTTTTTACTGAATCACCATGTGCTTTAGGTTCATCTTCTTCCTCACTAGAACTGTCCTTTCCTTTGTTCTTCTAAAAAGAACAATATTATTATAACTTTTAGATATGAAAGATCTCATTTGTATTAATGAATTTCTATTTACCAGCCCCCTAAGTAAAATTTATGTAACATTTTCGAAAGAATAAATGCAAGTGGAGAGAACAGATGAAACAAATCATCTTAGGCTCTATCCATCGCTTTTGAATTCTCTTAAGAATTTTCTGAAGGTTTGTGCCCGGTTCTCTCAAACGGTATGTTGCACCGACATGGAGTATTGTGCTCCGTGAAAAATCTCAGTAATGGTGCACACAATCACGCTCGACCGTCAAAGGATAATTCGACTTTACGTACTTAATAATAATATCTAAGCCGTCGTGCTGTTGGTTAACTTAAAAATACTGACTCTCCATTGGAGCTTTTTTTCCTCCTGGCGTCGTTGTTCCTCCAGTTCCTCAGGGTTAGTGAAGTGACGACTCCGGCCTTTGTAACTAACATATTTACCTGAAAGAAAATTATTTTGTCAAATCGGAATTCGTTCGTTAAAACATACGGAATTGCGTTTTTCTCGCAGAGAAATGTGGTGGGGAAGAGATGATGTTAATTGTATGTGGAGTGTGAAATTAATAATAATTTGTCCGCTTACCGCGCGGCATTTTTTCGAACTAGCTCGATTACAGCAGTTTAATGGCTACTATACGAAAATTTGAGGAAAAACTCCTCTTCTCTATTTTGAAAGAGAAAGAGGAAGGGAGAAGAATTACGTTTAACGTCAAATTAATACTGCGCTGCTGCTTATTTAGTCGTCAGCCACGAGCTCTAGTGGCATAAACCATTGCATAGAATATTTGCGTGCATTGGTTGGTAACATTTGTAGATTCATTAAAATAACTCAAGGATAGGAACAAATTTTTATACAATCCGATTACGTTATAGATAAATAAACTGATAAATTGATCCTTATTGTGACAATATGTGACAATATGTGAAATCGTATAAATATCGTACAACTTGGTTAGAATTTTATTTCTATTTATAAACATAAGTCCTACAATTATTTATGTATCGACTATAATAAATGTTTATATTTCAATGACATTTCGATTAAAATTTTCGCTATAAATATTTAAATTTGATTATATAATTTTTGCGAAAGAATAATTAACGTGTCAGAAATATGAATTCCATCGTGTTTGTTGGTCTTAAACAACATAGTTCATGCTTCAATGAATGATATGTGTGTTATTATCAATCGCTCAATAAATATCAATTGCTAAATAAATTGAAGAAATTAAATTTATTTTCTCAGATAAAATTGTTTCTTAAATTCTTTAAAATTGTTCAATCTATCTTTTATTTTTGACATTCAAGTCCAATTAATTTTTTACAAACTATCACGTCACTATAATAAGACTTTTTTAAATTAATTCCGTTTTGCAATATAAAATAATACGTTTTTACAGAACATTCATGAATTTTAGTTTGTCCACAAACACGTTTTTAAGTAATTGAATGCACATTTGATATGGTCGTATCGAACATCAATTGGGTACCAATTGGTCTGCATTGAGTACCAATTGCAAATTATTTCGTAACACGTCGAAACGCAATTCATGCATTTGTCTCTAATTTAAATTTATAGACTAATTAATTTTCTCATTTTTAATTTAAACAATTGTTTCTGTTATTATAGCAATTCAGTTTCCTACCAAACTATTTTAATTTTTAGAATTTGAATTGAAACGTTGTCAGACTTCTATGGTTAAATTTAAGTTGCAAAATTTAATTACCGTTTTCATTTTAACTATTGCTACTTCATTTCGTGTGTATTTTTTTTTTTTTTAACTGAGAAATAAAATTTGTATATGATTATTGTGATATGTTCATATAAGATTCTCTAATTATTTTGAGAGAGTCTCGCAAAAAATTATTTAATGATTGGTATTGCTTCCTTTTGTTTGTTACGTTATGCGTAAGTGACAGACGGTTACTTGTCATTGCTTAGTCACTACTGGCTGACGTTCTCTTAGTCTTCAATTTATATTATTTAAGAATAATTGGTTGGCTAGTTGCTTTTTAGGGGGGTCGATTGAGAGTTCTGACCGTCTATAGTACCAAAAGAATCATACGTAAAATGATTTCGTACAATATTTTATACAACTTGCAGTACACTTCTATCTCAGTATAAATTGTTAATTTTATTCATAATTTTATTCGATATTATTCAGAGATAATTTTGAAATATATTAATTATTAATATTGTAATTTCAAAAAGATTTGAAGAATTGCCAATGTCAGTTATTTTGTGTTGTGCATTCTTTGTTATTTTTAAAAGATTATAAAATAATAATTGATTGTTTGATAATATCAGACGAAAGTTATTTTTCAATAGATTAATTAATCAATACGAAGAAACGTTCTTTTAAATGACGAAGATCTTTTTCAAATTCTTTTTAGAATGTTTATAAAGTTTCCAGTTTAGTTAAAATTAAAACTATCGCTAGTTTTTCTAAATTATTTGTTACAAGACCAAAGCAGTCCTTTAAACAATAATCTGTATTTTATTAAATTCGTTGAATTGTTTTGCTGCAAATAGCATTCGAATAAAAGCGCCCTTAAAGGCAATTCAATATGGCGTGTTTCAGTATCATACTGCCACCTAGCGGCGTTTTCAGAAAGTACGTTACAATTCGAAAAGGAAGCAGCCAGTCTGTTTCGGGTATTTAAACTAGTTGGACGTAGACAGATCACACTCTTGAATGTTAGCCGGTGTTCGACTGTTTTGGTGTGCTCTAATGTCATTCACTTGAATAAACCGTGAAAACGAATTCTATTTGTTCATCAGTGTTTGTTGTATTATAATCGTGTAATACATCGTTTTTACTTCTGTCGCGTTCGAAACCGATAATTCGATTGTTCTTCCGTAGTTCGCGAGAAGTGTGTCAAAGTCGATGTAACGTGTTTCTGTGCATCCATAGTCAACTGTAGCTGTAAGTGCCTACGGGCTTCGGATACGGTTCCTCTCCAATAAAAAATGGTAAGTCACGAAAACTTCTGCCTGGAATTTCGTAATTATCATGAAATTATCATTGAAATTATCATGATGTAACTACGAGGAAACTAACACGGGGGAGGAAATCATCGTGATCATCATTTTCATCGGTGCTGTCAAAGTGTATTCCTTGCCGTATCTGAGAAGTTTAAGGTTTCAACATGAAATCTACATAATACAGAAAATGTGCAAAATATTTAAGCAGAACACCTGTTATAATACTTGGAAAAATATTTGATGATTTGCACAGCAGTTTACGAGTCACATTCGTTACATGGAATGAGATTTAACCGTGATAAATTCAATTTTAAATTTAACTGTGAATTAACAGTCACAGCATTATGCATTGCTGAATGTTTCGATATCTCGCTTTAGACAATGCGTTATTTAAAAATGATCACATGATATCTTGTTTGGAGGAGATCAATTGCGCTGTATCTTGTTTAGGAAGGATCAGTTACGACGAAAACAGATTCGAAGTTTAACTTTAATTCGGATTTTTAATTCAGAATAACCATGGATTATCGAGTATAAAATGAGTAAATTCGCACAATATGCGAACGTTTTGTTTAAATGATCTATTAATCATTAGAAGAATTAATTACTTGATATATTAGAGAAAGAATGACGATGAATGATATTTATATCAAAATATCACTTCTAACTTTAATTCAGAATTATAAAATTATCGGTCATCGAATAGATATTATATTACATATTACATTTAAATATTTTTTTGTTTTAAATATTATATTAATATTACATGTGTTGCACGTTATATATTATTAATAATATATATTATATTATATTATATTGTATATATATTATATTATATTGTATATATATTATATTATTAATATATTGCATAATATTAATATCTATTATATTATTAATGTAGAGGAAAAAATTGACAGACAGGGGATTAATTCGATCGAATAATCGCCAGAACTCGAATCGCGTTTGAATGAATCTTGAACGGAGCTGTGCATCGATGTGACAACTTTGTAGAGCAGTCAAGGTTATTTCACTTCCTTCACTGTGCCTCATGAATGGGTACCTACTTATTCTACTTGCCCTTTAACGTTATAAAAAATACTCGAAATATCATCGGATTCTGTATTTAATAGAAAGTCCCTGAAATTCTTATACAACCGATCACGGATGGTTCCGCATATAAAAACAAATCGAAAGGAATAACATTTTTTCATTCAAGATATCGTTTCTGAGAAAATTGAATTTGAAAATTTGCCAAATATGCTTGAATTTAGCTAATTCTAGATGCGACAGGAAAGAATAGTTAATAGCAGGTTATTCTACGTGCGAAAATAAATAAACAGTGGAATCAAATTTTTTTGTAAGATGCTTCGCTTTCGAAAAAATCGAGCTTCGAGAAAATTTATCAAGTACATATGTACCAAGGCAATCTTCAACGAAATATATTCAAGACTTATTTTCTTAAAAAGAACGTAAAATAAACGAAAAAATTTTACACTCACCTTTTTACATTTATCTTTCACGCCTGTCTAGTACATAAATTTTCAAACTCGATTTTCTAGGAAACAAAGGCTTTAATGAAGAAATTTTATCCTTCCTTTTTTCGACTCATTTTTTAGAATCTCGGCCACTAATTACGCTAATATATAAGTAATCGTGTTAAAAAAGACAAATGCACTTATGGTGTATAAATATACAATATTTATTGGTTTTCATTCAATTGGTTACAATTAACACATAAAATGAATATATGTTTAAAATATTTATTACGTGTATATATTTGCCTTCGTTTTATTAATTTTTTACACAAATAGGTTTGAATTGATCCAAAATTTATCAGTATCTAGTATTTGTAGCAACAATTTTAAATTAAATTTCGTGTAAAGATTTTCTTTATTTATGTATTACCAAATAGATTAGTTACTTTCTGTATCTGAGAAAGAATTTAGATTTTTTACTTTTTCTTTCTGTTTATTACTAAATATTATTTACTATTTCAACTCTTCGGTTTCAATCAAATATATTTAGAATTTTTTAAATTGTTTGACTCAAATGGTATCGATATTTCATACATACAACTATAAAATGAGAATGTGAAGAAGCTCGTAATTTAACATTTTGTACATTAATCTTTTCTTTGTCGATATTATATTTAATTTGTAATTTATTGAATAAGTTAAATATATTATAAACATTTTTAAATTGGGTAAATTTTTAGCGGCTTTCCCTAGTTTTGGCTATTTTGCTACCATTTTCTTTAATAAAAGGTGCATTTTATCACTAAAACAGAAAAAGAGTTATATACAGTTCTTGTTACTTTAAACAAAAAATTTATCTTGTTAAAAGAAAAAAGAAAATATTATATATCATGTTAAAAAAATTGTAAGCCAGCGATATATAT